GAGCGAGGCCTCTTCTCTGCCCACCCACTCTCAGCCAGCGTCCAGGCCCCTTGGCTTCCGCCACCACCACCAGATCCAGTGTCTTCCATGTCTCTAGTGTTCAGCTTCTCTCCCACTCACGCTGACCTCCAAAGGTCTTCGGGGGGTTGCAGCTCATGGGACGCCCTGACCTTCTCCTTCTGAGTGTCCTTCCAGCCATTCCTCTCCCCAAGCTGGACGTGGGCACGTCCCTACATGCTTCTTGCTCATCCTTTCCACAGAGCCTGACTCCTCTCTGTCCCTCTTGATCGTGAAGCTCCTCTTCACCATCTCCACAGTGTTAGCAACACTTCATTCTCTCTCACCTCATGCAATGGTCAGGCCAGAGCTGCAGCGTCCGGAGCGGGCTGTGTCCAGCGCATGATGGCACGAAGGGGCTGTAGACCTGGGCAAGGGATTCGCCCTCCCTGGGTCTCAGCTCCATCATCTGCAGAGCGGGGGCCATGAGCACACCTACTACTGCAGAGGACTGCCATGTGGATGAAGTCTGTCTTTGTAAAGCACTTGGAAGGGTGCTCAGCACTGTAAGTTGCCATGGCTACTATTACTGCTGGCAACCACCACTACCCCAGGACTACTCCCCGAAGTGACGTCTGCTCCCAGCCTTTTCTCCCCTCTGTCCATCCTCCACTCTGTTTCCAGAATTATCTTGCTAAATTACGCATTGAGTGATTTTTCTCTTCCAACTCTTCAAGGGCCCCCGCTCGTCCAGGTGGCGTCAGACTCCGGGATAGCCTGTCCCCTGCACCACAGCCTGTGTGCTTATTCTCCAGCCTCATTTCAGCGCCGACCCCAGCCCCTTTGTGCCCCTAACTCCAGCCATCAGGAACCACCTGCAAGAGTCCCCCCAAGAACTCTTCTGTTCCCCCATGTCCAGTATGCATGCCCCTTTTCCTCGGCGTGTTCTTCGCTCCTTGGTTTGGTCAGCTCTCCCTATTGCTTTCTGGTTCAACCCAGTCTCACCTCCACGGATCGCCATCCCCTCTGCGTTCCTCTGCACCCCGGCTTACCTCCATTGTAGCCTCATTTGTGGGTTTTGTAATCACCTGTTTAGCAGCTTCTTCCTCTCCATTGTGAAGTTTTTGAAAGCAGATATCTATATCTATATCTATATCTATATCTATACCTATACCTATACCTATAATCTATATCTATATCTATATCTATATCTAACTAAGCCAGTCACAGTGTTGGCATATCCAGGAGCATAATACCATTTTGTTGAGCACTGATGTGTGGGGAGCATCTGAGTGACATCTATTTTTTTTTAAGATTTATTTATTTATGCATACAGAACTGGGATATATGCCAGAGGTACAGGGGCAGTGAAAGGATTCACCAGAGAGAGAGTAGGGAGCAGAATAGACAGATCAATGAAGTACACTGCTGAGGGGAGTAGCAGGCAGGTCAGGAGAGGTCTGCCGCGCCATGTGGGTCACCTCCAGGGCTGGGGATCAAACTCATGCTGAAGTGGCATTAACTTCTTAGTGCTGTGCTTTTACCCGCTGCACCACCAGGGAGGGCCTGGCATCTATTTTTTTTTTTTAAAGATTATTTATGCATACAAGAGCTGGGGTGTAGGTCAGAGGTGCAGTTTGGGGGTAGTGGTGGGGGGATTCACCAGAGACAGAGTGGGGAGCAGAACAGGTGGATTTACTGATATACACTGCTGAGGGGAGCAGCAGGTGAGACAGCAGAGGTCTTCTGTAACATGGACGTTACCTCCCTGGCCAGGGATTGAACTGGTGCTGCAGTGACTGCCCATAGCTTCATGGTGGCTCAGACTTAACCCCTGCACGACCAGGGAGGCCCCGGAGTGACATCTCTTGAAAAAAGTAATTATGCTGCCCAGCTTCCCCAGGACAGCCCCACCTGTGCGCACAAACTAATGATAACGATAACCCAGAGGCACGGGTTCAGCCCCGGGGACACAGGCGGGACTTCACCCCTGCCTAGGGCTTCCTGGGTTGGGGAGGTCTTTTGGGGACATTTGCAAAGTGCTCCCCTGGGCGCTGCTGTGCTGGAGGTGTGCCCTGGAGCCAGGGCTGAAGGACTGGCACCCTCCAGTGCCAGGGTCCAGGTGGTCTCTGGTGACCTCTGTGAAACTCTTTGTAGGAGGAGGGTCCCCAAAGTCTAACATGTTTTTCTGATTTTTCTGTGCACCTTGGTGCTCTCCACTTGGACTTGGTGGGCATGCTTGGTGGGGGCAGTGCTGAGCTAGAGGTTGGTCCTTAGCATTACCCTCCTTTCCCTCCCAAACAAGCCAGAAGATCAAGTTCCCCCATTCCTGGCCCCTGATTTCCTTTTAATGAGTTCTCGTTCAGGAACATCTTGCTTCCTCTTTGACAACAGCTCTCTTCCTCATCCATTCTGGAGGTCCTACTAGAATACGATGTCTTCTCCTAGAATAAGGATGCTACCCTCACAAAAGGACAAGCAAGTCTGGCTTCTAGGAAGAGCCTGCCGCCCTCAGGGTGGGATAGGGATGATTCTGTTGTCCAGATTACTCTGGGAGCTCCAACCCTGTCCCCCCCAACTCCCTCCATTCCCTGCCCCCCCCATTACTGCTTTTGCTAAGGAGAAGTTCTCACTAGCTCTCCAGGGAGGGAACCGCTATTGCAAAACTCTTGCTTCATGACATGGTAGTGGGCTGCAACTCTGGGTGGCCCTGGCCCCAAGAGGCAGTCCCCTGGCTTTGGTAAGAGCCTCATGGTTGCCCAACTACTGGCAGGCCAGTGAGACAGAGGGGACAGGGGTAACATGCATGCCTGTTTGGGGCCACAGAGTCACCTTTCGAACCCAAATACAGCAGCAAATAGCCTTGTCACGGAATGGGGCACGCCTCTTCCGAAAGAGTATTTTCAGCAACATCACAACAGAGCACCTGGTAAATGACTCATGGTTTTGTAGGGCTTCTCAAGAGGCCAGAGGACACTACTTTCCTCACGTCTGGTTGAGCAAGTGCTGCATGAAGCCTTACTTGGACCCAGTCTCTCCCTGCAGTGGGATGGATTGTATCACCATGGTGGTTGGAAGGACAGAGGGGCCCAAACCCATGTCTGTCTCCTCTACTGTCCCCCAAACTAGTGCCCTAGGGAGCAACTGAGATGCCACACACTATTGGTGAGGGGCTACAAGAAAATGTCTTTGAGTAATTTAGCAATTTCTTAAAAGTTAAACATACACCTACCCACAGTCATTTCATTCCTTGGTATTTACCCAAGAGAGGTAAAGGTTTATGTCTGTGTGCGTCTCTATGAGCTGGCTCCTCGTTGGCCACACGTAGGTAACTGGGACCTATTTTCTATCTACAAATCAAGCAGAACATTCCTTGACTCCCTACGAAGTATAGCTCGCATGGCGAGCCAGGCCCAGTGATACCAAGGGCGCAGTTGACCTGATGACGTAACTATCTTCATGGTGGTCTTGGGATAGCTCTGCCTGTGATTACATCAAATACTTTGCTGATGCAAATGGTTCTTGATGTCCCTGTTAAACTTTGTCCTCCATTTCTGTCCCACCCTCCAGACTTAATTCCTCATACCATTGTTACATGATCAGCTTTTACTAGCCTATATGATTTCAGTAAATGGCACAAGAACTTCTGGTCAAGCAGCAGCGTCTTGCTTGCGAACCTGCTCCACCACTGCTGTGTCCCTCACTGTGTTCCTGCTGCAAAGCAACAACTGAGTTCCTGTCACAACATGTCTGCACAAAGACTTGTAGACAAATATTACAGGAAACTTATTTGTAATAGCCTTAAATTGGAACTAACGTAAGTACAATATCTGGCAACAGATACCTATGCAAATAAACTGTTCTATATCCATGCAAGGGAATACCACTCCACAAGAAAAAAGAACTTTTGTATTTTTAGAAAGGCACACACCTCATTTAGATGTGTCTGGAGCCCTGGAGTCCTGGAAACTTGACTACCCTGTGATTTCCTACAAATGGGTTTTGAGAACTTGGGAAGTGCAGCTACTTGTATAACCTTGACTAAAGAATTTCTATCCAGGGAGGATAGCCTCTTCAGTCAAGTAGGTTCAGGAGAGACACACATGGAACAATGAAGGAAAAGGGAACACCTACCAGCCATCCAGATCAACCAAGTTCACATTGGTGATCAGTGAGGGGCTAATGCTGAAGCCAGGTCACTCTCACGTCCTCAACAGGAACCACTAACACAGGCAACACCATGGATGGATCTCAAAAGAATGAAGTTGAGTGAAAGAAGACAAACAAAAAAGAGTGTCTATGGTGTGATTCCTATGACATGAAACTCTAGAAAATGTAACTACAGTGAGGGAAAGCAGACAAGTGTTATTCTAGGAGGAGAGGGGGGACAGATTGCCAAGGGCAGGTGGGAATGTTGGGTCTGAAAAATGTTCTTTTTTTTTCTTTTTAATAACAGTTTATTTTACTTTTTTTTTTCCATCTCAATTGTAGTCCCTGCGGGTTTCCCATCACCAAGTCATCCATGTGGCATCACCATAATCCCGTGCACTTTTCTCCCCACCCCACCCCACCCCACCCTGTTTTTGATCCCATTCCCCACTCCACCCCTACAAAATGTCTCTGGTATATGGCTGTTCATTATTCTTGTTATTTTCTCGCCTGGTCCATTACACTCCTGCTATGAGTGAAACCGTCCGGTATTTTTCTTTCTCCTTCTGGCTTATCTCGCTAAGCATGATCTTGAAAAATGTTCTTTTTTTCCAAAAAGATTGTATTTATTTATGCACACAGAACCAGGGTACAGGCCAGAGGTTTGGGGGCAGTGAGAGGATTCACCAGAGACAGAGTGGGGAGCAGAACAGGCAGATCGACAAAGTGCACTGCTGAGGGGAGCAATGGACAAGATAGGGGAGGTCTGCAGCGCCATGTGGGTCACCTCCGGGGCTCGAATTCATGCTGAAGTGGCTGTGGCTAGCTTGCAGTGCTGCACCCTAACCCGTTGCACCACCAGGGAGGACCCGGATGCTTATTCTTTTGAATACACAGATGGTTTCAAGAGTATACAGTGAAGTCAAAACTCATCAAATCATACACTTTGTACAATGGATTCCTTATTCATCGTAATAGATCTGGAGAAATCTATTCAAAACAAAATACAATAAAGCCAGATACCTGAAGTGGATTCCAGATAGGAGGCATCTCAGGACCCCAAGGCCAGGCGTGGTGGGCAGGGCTGCAGGGGGAGACACACCTGTGCCACTGGGTCTTATTCTTGGTCAAGGTCAGACTGGAGAGATTTTAGAGAGGATGATGCCAACTCCCTTGTGCTGCAGAAAAAGCCGGGAGGGGCCTTTGCTGGCACAGCCTGCTGACGAGCCATGGGGGCGGTCTGGAACTTGCCTTGTGGCCGTCAGCCCTGCTCTTTCCATTCTTCATACCAGCCTGTCCACATGGGGCTGTTGACTTTCGGTGGCCAGTTTCTAGAAAGTAGGACTGGTCAGACCAGAAGCCCAGACGCCTGATGGTCTGGGGTGGCAAGGGCAGCCTGCCCTGGGCAGGTCCTCAGATGTCCTGAGTGTCCCCTTTCTGGGCGCAGGTGGGGCAGAGGTGCTCTCTCTTCTTGAAACCCCCAGAGCAGGCATGGCACACCAGGCCTCCGCACAGACTGGGGAACAGAGGTGAGACATGGGGATCAGGTGCTGTGTACAGGTGAGAGGTTGAGGGGAGCAATCATCTTCGGGTCTGTTTGTCACCTCCCAGCAGAATGGCCTTTGACCTCCCATTGCCTAGAGTGTCCAGATGCCCCAGCCCTGGTGCCCTCTAACTCAAAGTGGCAGGTTCTCCCCATGGCCCATGTTCCTCTCCCCTGCTGCTTGTCCTGCCACCAAGAAGCTAAGAGGACAGCACCCTTGACACAGAGATCTCTTAGGCGAGAACCCCACTCATCTGCCTATTCCCCAAATGCTACATAGTCCCTCTGCCAGGAGACTAGTCTTTGCCTGGCCCTGTTCCACTGCTCTCCTTATCTCCACTAAGTGTTAGGCAAAATGAGTGGCCAGCTTTAAGTGGCCTTCAGAAGCACCTAGTTCCTGTGGCCTGCCCGTCCCCACATGGGGCAGGGGGCTGTGGGCTGGGCTGTCCCCAAGGAAGCGTGCTGTGCCTGTCCCATTACCGGCAGGGGTACCGCCGAGACAGCCGGCCGAAGATCTTGCTACAGCAGATACAGCGTCCATGGGCCACGGATGAGAGATGCCGGACCTTCTGCCACAGGTGGTCCTTCTCTCTGATAGACACGGAGGTGGGGAGGGCACACAGATGAGTAAATAGAGAAAAATATGCAGGGTGTGAGAAAAATAGGGAACGATGCAGAGACAGACAGTGACACAGACAGACACAGAGAGCAAGAGAGACCAGTATAGAGAAATACAGGGAGACAGGAGGGACACAGAAATGCAGAAAGACAAAGAACAATAGAGTTAGAGTCACGAGGAAGAGATTGGTGAGTCTCTAGCTACCCCTCGTCATAACCTCGACCCATTATTTAAGCTCCTGTTCACATCCCAATTCCTTCAAGGAGTGCCCCCGATCTGCAGAACCCCAGGGGTTCTTGCTCTCGAGATTATAAGTCTACAGTGTCTATTCTCTCTTTCTTTTATTTTTTTTTCTAAAGATTTATTTATTTATGCATACAGAACTGGGGTACAGGCCAGAGGTGCAGGGGTGGTGAGAGGATTCACCAGAGACAGAGTGGGGAACAGAACAGGCAGATTAAGGAAGTACACTGCTGAGGGGAGCAGCGGGCGGGTCAGGAGAGGTCTGCCGCGCCATGTGGTCACCTCCGGGGCAGGCGGGGATCGAACTCACGCTGAAGTGGCTTTAGCTTCTCAGTGCTGCGATTCAACTTGCTGCGCCACCAGCGAGGGCCCAGTGTCTATTATTTTTTATTTGACACTTGGTACAAACTGCCTTGTAGTTTTGTATGTCTGTATTTCTGCTACACTATCTTTATTGTTTATTTATAAAGGATGTGTAGGAATATTTGATCAAACTTTTAAAGCAAAATGATACATATGTATGCTTTAAGATCAAGTAGCAAGAAAGAGTTTACTCAAAAGGCAACAGAACTAGAAAGATACTTAAAAAAAAAAAAAAAAAAAAGAGCAACAGACACACTCCGCACTCCTCACTCTCAGAGGCGAACCTCTCCTTGCTACTCACTGGTGCTATTTCCATGTTTAAGTACTAGGCTCACAGCTCTCCTTCTTGACTTGTCAACAGACACCACCTGCTGCTGAGCTCCTGCCCAGGATAGCAGAGGACTTAGTTTATTTCTTACCACCCTCCCCCTTCCTTTCTATGCCATACTATCCCTATTTTTGGTTCCTTTATGGTTAATACTAAAAATTTACAGAATATGCTCACACATTCATTTCTTACTTTAAAATATAACAATCATTTACTTTTACATCATTTTGTGCATTTTCCTACCTCAGTTGTAATCCCCGTGGGCTCCCCTTCACCAAATCACCCGTGTGCCATCACCATAGTCCCGTGCATTTCCCTCCCCCCACTGTTTCTGATCCCATCTCCCACTCCACCCCCATGAAATGTCTCTGGTATATAGCTGTTCATCATTATTATTATTATTTTCTCGCCTGGTCCGTTATACTCCTGCTATGAGTGAAACGATCTGGTATTTTTCTTTTTCTTTCTGGCTTATTTTACTATCATTTCTTACTTTTTATGCTCATATTCAATTAACTAGTGATAGTGTTTTCTAAAACTCCCATTCTGTAATCCATGGGTACTTTTTCTCTTCAACACTTCTCCTTCTTCCACTCCTTAACTTCACATTTATTCTTGCAACATCCAATATGGTAGCAATTAGCCACTTGTTTCTATTTAAATTTATGCTGAATTAAAAAAAAAGATTTATTGTATTACTTATGTGTACAAGAACTGGTGAAAGAGGAACGTACAGAATAAAAGGGAGGTTACCAAGTTAGGACAGCAGTGATTATCCCAGCTCTGATGAACAGAGATCTTCAGATTTAAAGATCTCACTGAGTGAGCAACAAACAAATGAAAGGAAAAAACCCACACTGAGATACATCATCGTGAATTTTCAAAAAAACAAAGACAAGTACCCTAAAAGATGGGTCACTTATGAAAGAGGAAGTAACAGTTGTTATGAATCAATGGTGAAATACTGTCAAGTTCTGAGAAAATCTGGCTTTTGTCCTAGAATGTTATGTACAGCCATATTACCAAACAATTGAGGAGGTGATACAGGAAAGACATCTTCCAGATAAAGAGGTCACAAAATATTCACCTCCCACACAGTCTTTTTTTGGAAGTTAGTTAAGGATGTGCTCCAGAAAACTAGGAAGTAAGCCGAGAAAGAAGATGTGGGATTCAGGAAACAGTAGCTCTAGCTAAGGCAGACCACAAGGGAATTCCCAAGATAAGTGGGGTGGGGGTGGAGGGGCCGGGATGGGGAGCAGGGGGATAGGCAGCGGCCCAGAAAGGAGTCTCCATTGCAGCAGAACTTACCAAAGGCCCAGGAGAAAATTCTCTTAAGGAGAAGGAAAATCAGTACAATACCTGATGTGATGGAGAACTGGAGCGGGGAGGGCAAAAATTAGTATGAACAACAGGCAAATCATGCAAGGGGCAAAGAAAGGAATTAGAAAGTCCTGGAGAACAAATAATTTCCAAATTATTTCCCTGTCTGATTTCTTCACTCAACATGATTCTTCTGAGATTCATCAGTTTGCCTCTGGTTAACCAATATATTTATGTATTGCCTAATAATGTAAATACCATTCATTGATTTTTTTTCAATATTTGAATTAATCTAAAGGTAAATCGTAGCAGACCATTATAATGATAGAGCACAACTAAATGTTCCCTACTAAACAATATTTAAGTATAGAATAGAACCCATAGAACTTTCTATGAATATGGAAATGTTTTGTTTACCCTTTCCAATGTGTAGTGATCGAGCACTTCACATGTGGCTGGTGTGACTGAGGAAGGGAAGTTTTCATTGTATTGAACTTTTATTAACTTCAGAATAAGTTTAAGGACTCCCTGGCAGCGCAGGGGTTAAAAAGTGTCTCAGCACTATGAAGCTATCACCAACCACTGTGGCATGAAGTCAATCCCCAGCCAAGAGGTGACCCACATGGTGTAGCAGCAGACCTCTCCTGTCTTACTGGCTGCTCCCCTCAGCAGTGGATTTCAGTAGATCCACCTGTTCTGCTCCCCACTCTCTCTGCTGAATCCTCTCACCCCTTACCTCATCCCTTTGGCCTACACTGGCACACACTCTGGCACTGGATAGAGTGGCCAGCTTTTATTGGAGGAACTGGGCAGGAGTTATCTACACACCAGACTCTCAACATCAAAAAGCACTCTTCTTTTACTTGGGGCAACTACATTTCTTCTGAAAAGGATCTTTTGCCTGCTTGACTGGGGCTTAGGACTCTGATTGCCAGGTGTTTGGCAGCTTGAGAGGCAGACAGGAAGCCAGGGCTCCACTCTGCTCTCTGTGATGAGTTTGTCATTCAGTTTTCCTGATTTCTGTACCTCATCTCTCTCTGTCATCTGCATTCCTGGCATCTCTGGGTTCTGGCTTCTCTAAAGTTCTAAGTCGGGCTAAATCCAGTATCTACTTTTTCATGCATTTCTGGCTTCTGTAAATGAGCTGAAAGCTCTCATTTGTGCCTGGCTTTTCCACCTGTATCTCTGTTGTGAGTTTTATAATAATTATTATTATTACAATAATTTTAGTGCGCTCTCAGGAGGGAAGATGGATGCTAAATAGTTGGTCTACAGCATCTTGACTGAAAGCATCTTCCATGGCTTATTTCCTTCCTTCCTTCCCTCCTCTCCCTCTCTCTTTCCCTCTCTCCTTTCTTCCCCTCTTCTTCCTTCTTCCCCCCACACCCTCCTCCCCTTTATGGTCATATCTTCTATGATGCTTCTGCAAGGGACAATATATTATGTAGTTTGGGGGTTTGTGAATAATTTCTTTAGCACTAGAGAAAATATTTGTCTCTTGTGAAGAACTGGCATATATCCTGTGTATAGACAATAACATTTAGACAACTTTTCACATTTTGTTCCTGCTGCTGAGATGCTCAGTGCTCAGTTTTAACCCTAACCCTAATCCTAAAATTTTGGGAACATATATACTTTTGCCTTCTATTAAATTTTCTATTTTTCCTTTAGAATCACATGGAAACACACACACACACACACACACACACTCAACTATGTCTCTCTCTGTGTGTGTGTGTGTATATATATATATTTGTATATGTGTATATATATATATATATATATATCTCTTTTATTATTAGCTACCTCAAATTCTCTTTTGAGATATACAGCTACTTTTTAATTTCTCTTCCTTCCAGTTGACAGTTCCTCAGAGATCATTCCTTGATCCTTTGTTTATTCCAAGTTGATTCCTTCTTTTTCTTATCTTCAATATCACTTGCATTTTGTGCAAGAGGTTTTAGATCCAGAGACCATGCAGCAACCTTCTGTTTGCATTGGGCCCTAGGGCGCAGTGATCGCTTCCTGAACTAGATAAAGGGTAATGTAAATGTGAATTTTCTCCCCACTAGGTGAAGGGCAGACACAAGGCTTTATACCTCCTCTCCATCCCTTGTGAGCTCAGTGGTCTGGAATTGATCCCAGGGAGCTCTGTCTCTGGGACCTAGGACAGCTGACCTGGAACGGGAGGGCAGAGCCCATGGCCTGAAGACGTCTAGAAGGCAGGCAGGACACCCCTGTAGGTATCAAGGAGGAGCCCCTGGTTTTCTAATCCTTCTGAACCCATGGGCTCCTGTCCTGTCTCTTAGCCTCAGTGGGGTGTGTGTTTGTGGGGTGGGTTGAAGTGGAGGGATTAGCATCAGAGGACTCTACGCAATTTATATGCTTTGGTGGCCAAGTCAGCCTCTCTGACCCTCAATGTCCTCATCAATAAAATGGAGATAATAGCAGAGGTGTCTAAAAGCAGGTAGAGTTAGCATATATAAAAAGGCTCAGAACACTGTTGGGTGGCGTTCGTGGAGTAGGATTTCCATTCCCCAGCCTCTCCATCCCTATCGTCCCCCTTCCACAGCCCCACCCCACTGTCCCAGCTCTTACTGAGTCAGCTCCAGCACCCGCCTCTTCAGAGCGTGGATCAGGTCCTGCTGCCCTCCAAGCTCCTCCGCATACATGGCGTCTCTCCGCTCAGCCACCTGTTGCTTCTGCTCCAGTTCTGCCTGCAGCTGGGCCCTCTCTTCCTGACACCTGCGCACAGGAAAGACTAAATTCTGAGGGGGGGAAGGAAAAGAACTTGTGGCTGAACAAGGCTGGGCTTCGGCCTGACAAGGAGCCTTCAGGGGGAAGGTGGCTGTGCTTCCTGCAGCTTAAGTACATGAGCTCTCTCTCTCACACACACACACACACACACACACACACACAATCACATGTACATACCACATGCATGACTGCATCCCACCACACATACTCCTTACAATGCAACACACAAGACACACACAGATATGTGCAACACTGCACACATATTGCACACACACACCAGAACACATGTCACTCACACCTCACACGCCACATATGTGTGTTGCATACACAACACAACACACAATATACACTACATATATATAAACACACACACCGCAAACACAACACAATACACACAACACAAATCACACACATAAACCACTTACAGTGTTACAGTGTAACACTCTCATAACAGCACACACCCAAGTGTACATACCACAGGCATGCACGCAATACATACCACCCACACCACACACACTTGTAACACATAACACATTCATGACACATCACACACACTTATAACCCACCACCCAGACCACACGCACCATACCACACATCACACGGAAACTTGTGGGTAGTCTGACACCTATAGGCTGACTCCTCACAAACAGTTCAAAGAGGTGAAAACAGGGTCTAGCTTCATGTTTCTTTCAGAGGAGATGAGCCAACACTCATCCTTCTCTTCTTAACATTTCATTTTTCTTCTTAAATATTTCCTTTTTTTCCAAATGTGGTTTTCCTGAAAGGCTTGGTGGCGGTTCTCTGGAGGGAAGGTGTCTGGGAACTCAGGCTGGCTGGGCTGTGCCCAGTTGAAGACAATCGAGGTGTTGGGGGGAGGGTGAGTGGTGTATGGTTTGGGGCAATAGTTTGGAAAAGCATGTTACATGGTCTTTTCAGTTAAAAGAATTAATACTAAACATCTGGCTTTCTTAAATTTCTGCTTGGGGCCTGGAATCTCCTCAGCTCTGTTCTTGCTTTTTTTTTCTTCTTTAGTGGCTTCCTAGAAGCTTCCAAGAAATGGACTGGAAGGGAGGGCCCCCAGTGCAGGGTCAGTGTCTCACTCTGTCGCTCAGGCGCGGGTCACTGTGACGGTGGATATTGTGCTGCCTGTGACCTGTGACCTGGGTCAGTGTGCATGCTGTGCTTACCACCCTGTGTGGAAGAGGAAGAGGCTGCCAGAGGCCTGGCAACTGGTCGACCTATTCTTTTTTAAGATGCCACCATGGCTTTGCTGTGGGGAGGAGTTTCGGGAGGTCCATGGAATCAAACTGACAGCAGGTAGCCACTGACATTCAAGTAGGGGCAGTTCCTGCAGCCTGAAAACAAGAAGGTTCTGCTGCTCAGGCTGGACTGGGGCTAGCATTTGACTTCTCATGAACATTCTAGTCTTCAGCTTCCTTGAGTATTCATCACTGACTTTGTTTTCCTGAGCTTGTTTCCTTGCCTGGAGATTCCAGGGCCTCTGGTGTAGTCAGCACAGGCCCTGATAGGACCTGACAGCAGGGGGCTTTGTGGTGAGAAGGAACATTTATTAAGCACCTACTGTATGCCAGTGGCTGTGTTAAGTGCCAGGCACAGAGGGGTGACGACCCAGCTCCCGGTGGAACTCGTGGCGTTTTCAGGATAGTGTTCTAAACCAGACTCAGATCAATACAATAGTTTAAACACACACACACACACACACACACACACACACAAAACAGAACTCAATATATAGCAGGGATAAATACGGGGCTAAGGCAGAGCCTCTCCTTGAGACTTGCCGAAAAAGTGACATCTAGGCAGAACTCAAAGATGTCAAATCAGCCAGGCAGAGGAGCGAAGGTCTCAGGCAAAGGTTTATGGATTGAAAAGAGCCTGCTCCTGTGAGGGGCACAAAGAGCGTGGTGAGGCTGGGACACCACGTAGGGCAAGGGTGGGGGACCCTAGGCAGGGGTTGGTGGGTCCCTCTGAGGCACCTGGTAGAGGGGACCTGACCTCCAGCACTGTGGGAAGCCTCTGACGTATTTTCAGTAGAGGGTGACAGACACTCCTGGGGCAGGAGGGGATGTGACTGCACTTGCAATCTATTGAGCACCTACTATGTGCCTGTCGCTTGCTTCGTTTACATTTTTGCAAAGTTATGGGGCAAGCGGTATAATCAGCATATGACAGGAATGAAAATAGAACTTCAGAGAGGGAGTGATACTTGCCTGGGATCACACAGCTTGGTGAACAGGGGTGGGGTGGGGGACAGAAATCTAGACACAGGCCTGTTGAACACTAAGCTCTTTTTTACCTCCTCACTCTTTCATCTCTACAGGGTCTTGATCACCAGTATCAGCTGCTGAGGGGCTGCAGGTGGGAGCTGGGGACCGATTGTGTGAGGCCTTGGCACACCTCGAAGGAGTTCACTGCTGAACTCCCACGGTGATGGGATGGGAGGAGGGAGATGTTTGCCCAATTCTCTATCTGAGGACACCTTCTTATACTCTCCCAATCATCTTGTCTTGAGGGCAGAGGAAACCCGTCTGCTAGGAGAGATGATCTCACAGATCACCTGGGCAGGAAGGAGGAGCTATAGAGGTCAGCCATCTCCTTATGCAATCAGAGACCCGAGACCCAGAAAAGGAAGGCCAGATTCCCAGGGCCTCACAGCAGAAGGTCAGGAAGAGGGTACCCGGTGTCCCGGAGCTCAGTGCTGAGTCTGTTTCCATAGCTCCTGCTGTCTGTTCTGGGCCTGCTGCCTGAAGAGTCTGTTAGCTCTGACTTGTCTAGCCTGGCTCGGGACCCACCGGCTGCACCTTGCACCCTCAGGCTCTCCACACCGGCCAGAGTCCTCCTTTTAAACCTAGGTCGGACCCTGAGACTCTCCTTTTGTTCGAGACTCAGCTGGAGCCTCCTGGAGTCCCAGAGTCGCCCTCTGTTCCCGCCACTCTGGCCTGCTTATCTCCCAGCGCTCTTCGCCTAGGATGGTGCACTCACTGCCCCACCTGGAGCACGCCTCATGAGTTCTGTTTGACGGGTCCAGTTTTCCCATACTTGTGGTGTCTGCTCAAAGAAATCCTGTTTCCTGACTCTCAGTCTAGAAGACTCTCCAATGACTGCCTGACATATATTTCTGTTTGAGGAAGTGTTGCCTGTCTGTAGGGCTGTAAGAGCAGACATAAGCAGTTGTCCCTGCTCATGTCTGGTGTGGAGGCACCATAAATGCTGTCGGCTGACTGCTGGGCCCCGGGGAACTTGTACTCGCTACCTGTGAGGTGCCCATCGCCAACCTGACGCCCATGTTTCCTTCCCAGGAGTAAGATGTTGGTCCCAACATCTGGACCCCTACTGGGTCCAGGGGGCAGGAAATGCATTCTCCCAGCCTCAGGAGCTGCTGTTACTCACTGTCTGCATCCTAGATGCCCCGGCCCACGCCTGTCTCCTGAACTCCACCCGAGGGCCCGCCCAGTAGCTCCAATGAGTGTCTAACAGGTGTCTCAAGTGTAACGTGTTCCCAGCTCAACTCCTGAACTTTCCCCACATGCCTGCTCTGTCACAGCAGACGGTCCTTGGCGACTCCAGCTTTCCAGCTGGACAGTCCACAGGGCATCGAGTCACTCCTGACTCCGCTTTCCTCTCAGACCCAGTCTCTGCACCCCGGGAGCCTGACCTCACAGCTTCTCCTGAAGGCAGCAGCTTCTCTGTCGCCCTCTCCACACAGCTCCCTCCTGGGTGGTCTGGTCTCCCTGCTTCCCCGCCCTTTCGTTCCTTAGAGCAGTGAGCACAGGCCCATGAAAATGTAGGTCAGCCCAGCACAGGCAAATCTATGCAGACAGAAAGTACATTAGCAGTTGCCTCGGGCTGGGGAGGTTGGGAGGAGACGGTGCTGCAAATGAGTGAGGAACAATCTTCTGAAATGTGCTGCTTTGTGAATGCACCGAAAACCAGAGAGTCGGTTTTTAAAAAGCAAATGAACATTTTTAACATCAGAGTGGTCACACCATATCCCTCCTTGCTTGGGGCTCTCAGTGGTTCCCTCTTCAGCCTGAGTCAGAGTCCAGGTCTTCCCAGATGCGCCCTGAGCCAGTGTCCATTACCTGCCCACCCTGTCCCTCCACCCTCTCTGTCTTTCACTCCCCTGATGTCCCAAGAGCTTGCCATGCCCCTTCCACCTTAGGGCCTTCGCTGTTGCAGTTTCCAGAACATTCCTCTACCACATGTCCAAATGACTCACTCCTCCATCCCTTCAGGTCCTCGCTCAGGACGGCCTTCCCTGGCTGTGCCGCCGTGTCTTAAATATCGCTAACAGTCACCCCCCCTTCCCTGCTTTATTGTTTTTCTTCTTAGAATTGATCACAACCTGACATTCTATCTATTTTACTTGCTCATTACATTTATCCACTGCCTCCTCCACTAGAATGTAAGTTCCACAAGGGCTAGCATTCAGCTCTAGAGTATGCCCGACTCACAGAGTGGGCCAGGCACTGAAGGGGACCCTAAGGGCTTGTGGGATGACTGAATGATGGTCAGGATGACAAGTGGCAGGACAGGGCTCTCTGACAGGGGCTCTCCCAGCTGCAGGGAGCATCGTGGGACTGGTGTCTCCCTGGAGTCCCCCAGCCTGTTTGGGCCCTGAGAGGGGAAAGGTCCTTGCCTTTATATGGGGCCTTTGTCGTGTGAATCTTTGCTTGCTAAACCACTGGATCCAGCTATATATCTGGTGGGAGGAGCCCCCAGGGTCCTTTCTGGGTGGGTTCCTGGGCACTTGGGCAGACAGTCAGTAGCCTGCCCTGTGATTCAGTCTGAATCACTGCTCCTAGACTCCACTAGGGTGTGGAGGGGAGGTGGGGGCACTGGTGGCTTCTGGCTCAGGGGTGGGTGCCAGCCTACACAGGAGAAACAGGGGATGGTGGGCAAGCTGTGGCCCAGAGACCAAGGCAGAGGCCCTGTCAGATCAAGGAAGATCTCTGAGGAGAAACTGAAAAATAAATGGACGGAGACACTGAGAGATGAGGGGGGAGGCAGAGACAAAGCCAGGCAACCTTGGGCCTTGAGGTCAATGTGGTGAAGGGAGGTGAAGATACTGGCTGAGAGACGGTGTCCAAGCCCTGGCTAAGGGCCAGGTCTGGAGCTCGTCCACTCTGCTAGTGGTCCCCTCTGCTCACGCCCCTGGTGCTGGGCGGCTTGGGCAGCAACTTTGAGTCTTGGTTGTCTCATCTGAAAAGCGGGAGTTCCCAGAGGCCTCTCTGGTAAGGATGTTTGAGGAAGCGCCCAGAACAATGGAGGGAGCTAGGAAGGAGCCCGTTAATGAGACAGCAGAGAGAGAGAGAAAGGAAAAGGAGAGCCAAACAGAGGGAGAGAGGGAGACAGAAAGAGGGCAGGGCAGGAGTGTGGCAGGCAGGAGACAGAGTGGGCGGGGAAGAGAGAGGAGAGCTCGGAGGAGGCATCGGAAATGAGCAACCATGGCGAGGCAGGAGTCATAGGGGGGTAGACCCCTTCTGAGGCCACTTGAGAGGTCCGTCGGGGAGGGGCTGGCAGAGGGGAGCTGAAGGGGAGCCCCTGGAGAGTGGGAATGCCCTGCATGCCTCAGCATCCCGAAGGTGTGCCCAGCACGGGCCTGGTGCCCAGGAGGTGCTAGAAGAAAGCTAGTGGCGTGACTGCTAAGGAGAGCGGGAGCCAGGGAGCGGAGCCCAGGCCTCCTGCCCCTTGGGGCTCCTGGCTGCAGGCCCCTCCCTGCAGGTGGTTGCCAAGGTTACCTGCTGAGCTGCTCCTGCAGGGCTTTTAGTTCCCTCTCCTGCTTCTTCAGCAGCTGCTCCTGGTGCTGGCTCTGTTCACTGGCCTTCTGGAGCCCAAGTCTGAGACTCTGGGAGAAAGGGGGCAGGAGGAGAAGGAAGCTGGGGGAGGATGGCAGAAACCCCAGCCTAAGACCTGACCCAACAAACATCCCTGAGATCCACTCTTGAAAGACAAATTTGGCAGGACTGGGAGCAATGCTAGGAGCGGGGCGCCCTGGGTGAGGCTGGGACCACCTTTGCATCCTTCCCTGAAGGACAGAAGTTATCAGTTCCAGGGACATGCCCGGGAAGGAGGCTAGAAAGGCTGGGAAGTAATCTTGAAGGGTCGCCTCTAAGAGAAGGCTCTGACACATTCAGAGAAATGAATTGTTAGGTGGTTTTATTGTGCAAACATCATAGAGTATAATTATACAAACTTAGATGGTGTGGCCTACCTCGCACTTAGGCTAGATGGCATAGAATACTGGGAACCCTGTCACATATGGAACCTGATGTTAACCACAATGTTCTAGGGTGCATGACTGCACAAGCGTGGTAGGGTGGGATCAGCAATAGTAGAATTTAGATATTGGGAAGAAACAGGTCCATCATGAGGAAGATGGAACTTGAGAACAAGTACATGACCTGAAGAACTGCTGGAGTACCCAAACTTAAATGCCTACAGAGGTAAGGCAGAGAGTCTTGAGGAGTCTGGTGCGAGGCAATAGGGAGGGGTGGGGACTGCGGTGAGCTGAAGAATACATAGCTTTTCAATGGCATCCTCAAATAATAATCTTGTGCAGGTCAGTAAAATTTGGCCTGTGTGTTAGAATGGCCCCCAGGCTACCATTGAGGACCCCCACATGTGAGCCAGTTGGAGGAGAGAGAATAGACAAGTACCGAGCGCAACTCACTGTTCTCACCTTGACCACATCCTGCAAGGCCACCTCTTCCTGTTCCCCCTTCCTGGCCACACTGGTCTCTCCTTTTTGTTCTTGTGGCTTCTCTGTGGTAGAGCTTTCCTTTGTTTGTAGGCCCTGAAGGACCTGGTGTTCCCCTGAAATGCTAGACACCTCCTGCTCTGGCCTGCTTCCTGACATTGTGTCCTTCATGGTGCCTCTGAGACCGGGGACCAGCAGCCTCTGGACACGACCCCGATCTGCTTCCCTCTCATGAGTGTTCTCTCTTGTTCTCTGCCCTTCTGCCCCAGGAAGACCCCCTCTGCCCTCAGCCTCAGCCCCTAGCATCTCTTTCAGAGTCCCATCCTGAACCTGGATGTTAGCTGTTGAGTTCTCCACGAAGATCTCTGTTTGTGGGTCTTCCTTCTCTGGGTCTTGCTGAAGCTCCTTCCACGTTGGTTCCCACATGTTCTGGGGAGATACGAGGCTCCTGGGATCTTTTCTCTTCTTTTCCAAAAAGGAGGGAAGATGCTTGAGTTGCTGGGACCTGGGGGGTCCAGTCCAACTCTCCCCCTTGGGTGCCTCTTGCAGACAGTCAACTTGGCTGGCGTGTGTCTCCTTCGGCTGGGCTCTTTTGGAGCCTTCGTGCGTGGTTAGGATCTGCAGAAAATCCCCCCGAACCATCACCCCTTTCAGCACCAATTCACTGAGCTGGGGCAGAGAGGCCACAGCCCTCAAGCAACGGATTTACTACGTGGATTCCGGACCCTCCCAGTAGAATTACCGACTCAGTAGGTCTAGAGATGGCTCTGGAATCCGAATGTGAACACCCTGGTGACCCAACAGCCCTACTTTGATCTGTTCAAGGGACAGCAGTGTTTCTCCAGGACCTTTCCCACCTCGCCTCTAGCCCCATCCTTCCCCCTTCTTCACACTCCCTCCATCTTCTGCATTGGTCCTCAATCCCACCTCTCCCGCTGATCCCTCGGCCTGAACTTGACTTCTTTGAGTTTCACTTTTCTCATCTACTTGCCTTGTGGTGAAAACTTGCACTGACTGACAGGGAGAGACATCCCTCTTCCAGGAAGCCCCTGCTGTGTGCCCAGGCTCCTCTGCGTCAGTCCTAACAAGTGGTGGGGCAATGTGTTCCTTCAGGGTGTCTCCCAACCAGACTTGCCACTCCTTCTCTCAGAGACAAGTCCTTGGTGTATCTGCCCTGGGCACCCAGAGGCTGGCGTGGGCTGCAAAGCCTGCCTGTGGACCTGACACCACACCACCACTGGCTGAACAAACAGCAGGCCGCCTCGCGCTGTGCCACACACACTGTGCATCCTCACGCCACCCCGTGAGGAAGGCAAATGCCCCGTCCACTCACCATGGCTAAAGAGTAGGAGCTGGGCTTTTAACCTGGCCATCTGGCTCTGGCACTCCGGCACTCCCTCAGTACAAGTGAGGCATCTGCAAACTGTCCAGCAGGGGTCGTTCCCTGCTCTGTTTTCCTTGCGCTTCCAGCCACCTTCTCTAGCTCCTCCTCCTCCCTCCGCCCCAGTAGCGCCCACAGAAGGCACAAGTGTCCCTTTCTTTCTCTGACACTCCCACCACCTTAGGAATATTCAGCCTTTCTTTTGCGCTTTCCCAGTCCTCAGATCCACACGTTGGCCTGTCTGTCTGTCTGTCTGTCTGTCTGTCTGTCTGTCTGTCTGTCTGTCTGTCTGTCTGTCTGTCCTCCCGTTAGGGCAGGGCTCAGTTACTGCTTAACCTGGAGGTTCCAAGAGAAATGGAGAAGCAGCTCAGAATGAAGTCAGGCAGAGCACCTTTTGGGGGGAAGAAGCTGTGATTTTTCGGGGTCTTCTTCCCTGTGTCCGGCTGGACCAGCAGCTGGACCTGCAGATGAAAGGGGTAGGGGACCCCTGGGGTTCTCTCCAGCATTTACATCTCCCTGGATGCTGGCTGTCCCATCTTCTCAATCCTCCCCCTCATGCTCCCATTCTTCCCACCTTCCAGCCCATCTCCCTCTGCACACCTCCACCCCTCCCCCCACCCAGGCACACCACCCTCCATCCACCCACATGCTCCATCCAACCTCCCACCATCCATTCATCCTTCGAACCCACTCTCCACTCCAAGCGCCAACAGCTCTTTAGTGAGGGTGTATTTTATGCAGCAGCGAGGTGTACTGGGGCGGGAGACTGGGAGCATGGCCTCGCTTGGGCTGGTGGATGACGATGTCATCAGCCAGGGAGGACAGGCTTCCCTCTGCGCGACACCCACTCACTCTGAGAACATGGGCCAGGCCCCATCCAGGTCAGGACGCTGCAGGTCTAAGTCGAAGGGCACCTCATTGAGCGCGTAGAGGGACGCCAGGAGGTCCTCCTGGAGCTGGGGGCACACCAGAGGGCTCCGGGGGCCATACCACTCCCTACGTTAACAGTGATCAGAACCCTTGGTCATTGGCCCTGGAGCTGCTGGCCACCCTGGCCTCAGGGCACCCCCCTCCCCTCCCCACCATAGCACTTCCCCAGGCCGATGAGGCCCTCTGGGAGGAGGAGCATCAGGCCACACCCAGCACCCTCTGCCCTTCCCTTTTGACTTCCCTGCCTGACTCATTTTAGCCATCTCTGACATTCAGCCGTGCAGCCCGGGGGGAATCTTTCACGAAGGAGGGTCCGTGGGCCAGAGGGTCTGGAGCTGTGCCAGCCACCTGGTGAATGTGGGGTCCAGGAGGCAGAGCTGCAGGGACTCAGCCAGCTGCCCGTGGGCAAGGCAGAAGCGGATGAAGGCTCGGCCTCTTCCCAGCGGGGTCTTCAGCTGCAGAGCGCGCCGGGCATAGCCAGGGTCAGGACAGAGGAAACTCAGCCAGTGCACAGAGAGAACGGGTGGGAGCCAGCGGGTGCCGAGAGAGGGTGTCATGGAGTTTCAGGCTCTGAGAAAGGGTGGCTGGGGGGAGCTGAGCACAGGGTTCATGGGTGATGGGAGGTCTGGCAGTGGGGCAGGGATGGGTGAGAATGGGTTGGGCAGAACTGTGTCCTCTCCTTTCTGCCCCAAGTTGGCCCTTCAAGGGTGCCTGGTGGCAGGGCCCCACCGGCCTGAGGCCCCTCCCTGCCACTTGGCTCTGGATACCTTGACCAGTGAGTGAACAAAGCGGGTGGACTCCGTGTCTCCCCGCTGCCGCCGCAGGGCAGTGCAGATGAAGTCCCAGTAGTGCTTGTGAGGTTTTAGGAAACTCTTCTGCTCTTTCTGGTCAAACTGGGAGCAAGATCAGGGAAAGAGAGTGAAGACATGCTTGCTCCTAGGGCTTACCTTGTGTGCCAGCATGCCCAGGAGGCACAGGATACGGGGGAAAGGGCTCGTGCAGACAGACTGACCACCAATCTGGTTCTGTGTGACCAGTCGCAAACTGCTTCACCTCTCTGAGCTCCCCATGTTCTCATTCATTCATGAAATACTAATGAACAGTTAATGTGTGCTAGGCTCTGTTCTAAGCCCAGGGGTTCCAGCAATGAACAAAATGACCTCAGGTATAAACTCTGGTGTTTGCATCCTCGTAGAGGAAGCAAACAATACATAAGCTAAACACACGCAGCATAATATGTTATATAGTGTCTGCTGCTAAGGAGAAGAAATAAGGCCAGAAACAGTAATAGAAACTGGTATGTGTGTGATTTAATGTCTCTGATAAAGAATTAGGGGGCTCCCTGGTGGCACAAAGGGTTAAGTCTCAGCACTAGTAATCTGTAGCCACTGAGCACACGTTCAATCCCCGGCCAAGGAGCTGATCCACAGGGCACAGCTGACCTCTCCTGTCTCGTCCACTGCTCCCCTCGGTGGTGTATTTCGTAGATCCGCCTGTCTGCTCCCCACTCTGTCTCTGGTGAACCCCCTCACCCCTGCCCCCACCACACCTCTAACCTACCTCCCAGCTCTTGTATGCATAAATAAATAGAATAAATCTTTTTAAAAGAAAGAATTAGATTAGGTTAGCTAGAGAAAGCCTCATTAAAGAGGTGCTATTCAATTTCAGATCTGAAGGAAATGAGAAAATATTCCATCTGAATTTCTGGGGCCAGTGCAATCCAGGCAGCAGGAATAGCAAGTGCAAAGGCCCTGGGGCAGGCGCATTTCCATGTGATTTAGGAAGCTCAAGGAGACCAGTGTGATCCGAGTGCAGCAGACAGGGCAGGGTGGCAGGAGAGTCACCCATGTACACTGCACACACACCACATACACAAATATCACCTACACAGAGAAATAGGAAGTCTATGTGTATTCAGAGGTGGGCAGGCTGTTCAGCGCAGCCCTAGGTAGGGAAGATAATGGGCTCAGCTTAGCATATAGTAAGTGCTCAAAAAAGCTCTAGATAGTGATGATTGGGGCTCTAATCAGCAGCAAAGAGGATCAGCTCTTTGCCTCTCAAACTTCAGTTTTCAGAACAGGAGGCTGCCCCCAGCACTATGCACCCTCGTCAGCCTTGTCCCATCTCATCCCCCAGGCAGCAGTGACAGCCTCCAAGAGTCTGAGGGACTGACAGAGAGATGAGGTTGTGCATGGTAACAAAGGGGTCAGTGGCTCCTCCCTCAAAATCTAGAAATGTCCTGGTTCCCTAAGCCTGAGAGACGGCAGAGGAGGGGAGGAGAGGAAGGAAGAAAGAAGAGGGGCTGGGGAGAGGGTCCCACCTGCAGCAGCCACTCCAGGCAGCCACAGAGGCTGTGCAGCTCAGCGCTGGCATCTGTCACGGCCTGCTGGCCACCCCTGTATCCCAGGAGGACAGCAGAGATGGCAGCTACGGGGAAGATGGCAGACACAGACACCAGCCAGTGAGGCTCTCGGGAAGAGGCTCCCAAGACCCCTCAGTCCTCCCCAATCCAGTCCCAGGAAATCTCCCAGGGCACACTCACCTTTCAGGTCCCTGATGACCTTGAGGGCGGCTCCCTCTTCTGCCATGGCTATTTCAGAGTGATGTGATTCCTTGTATCTCAGACAGTCAGGCCAAGAGGGACATTCTGGGTGCAGTGTCCCAATTGTCTCCTTCTGTGAATGAAGGAATCAGAGCCCAGGGGAAGACTGGGACATGTCGGGTCACTCAGTGAGTTAACTGGCAGGAGGAAACCCCAATTGTTTCTTGCAAGCCAGTGTGGAAAAAAGGCATGGACCCCACTTTTTGGAGCCAGGACCCTACTGTGCTCTGTATCTGAACATCCTTGATTCATCCAGTCCCCATAAGAACAAAGGAGGATGTCAGCTTCACATTATACAAGGCCAAAGGTTCGGAGGTGGTAACTTCCACTCAATGTCACAAAGCTACAGTGGTGAAACCAGAACTGTGCCCACAGGGCCGTGCTCTCAGCCCTAATGGATGTAAGCCTCTCTGACTGTGCATGTGGGCCTGGGCTGAGGGAAGTCACCCCTGTCCCCGAATGGAGCCTGGCTGTGCAGTCAGCCTCCATGAGACACACATTCATCCTTTCCTGGGCCCAGCTGATTGGAAAATGTGTGTCTTTGGAAGAGAGGGAAGCCCCAGAATTGGCCTGGGCCAGAATGCTAGAGGGCAGAGGGATCAGGGAACCTGCCTTTACTCCAGCCACTCTCCCGGGGGGAACCTTTGTCTTGGGGTCCGGAGAGGAATGTTGTGGTGTCCAGGGGCCAGTGGGCTTAGTCTGAGAGGTGTCCTGTCCCCCAGGCCATGGCTGGTGGCATTTGGGAGTAGGTGGGGGCAAAGACACTGTGAAATATGGTGGTGGGGAAGGGAATGGAGTGGGGCTGGCCTTCAAGGAACCCCAAGCTGGGAGCCAAGGGACTGGGATTTCCACTCTGGCTCTGCTTTAGACCTACCATGTGACCTTGGGCATGTCATTTGCCTTCGTTGAACCTCAGTTTTCCTATTTGTAGACCAGGTGCTGGACTGAGGGTCTCTGTGCCCCTCCACCCCACAGTCTATGAAATTCACCAATATCTAATCTTACCTCTTCTTCTCTTTTATGTCTATCCGGGATCCATCTGCCCCTCACTCTTAGCGCCCATCCCTTTCTCCAGCCACCTACAACCTCAGGGCCCCCACCTCCCACCCCCTGGCTACTCACCTGGAAGACCTGGCCACTGCTGGAAGAGCAGGCACGGCTGCTTGAGCTGGTCACTTGTGACTGTGAGCCCTGCACAGCCCTTCCTGGGGTTTGCCGCCTGAGAAGTGACTCACACCAGCCCAGCGCCCTGAAAGGGAAGGAGCAGGACCTCAGGGAGAAGTGGCAGGGGCAGGCCCAGAGCACCAAGACAGAAAGGGTGTGATGCGAAAACTCCCCTTAGGCAGCCCTGAGGTATCGTTTGGCCACTACACAGACTGAGGAGGTTGAAGCAGCTGTTGCGCAAATTTCCTGCTGGGTTTCACAGCCTTCAATTGCTCTTGTCGTTCTCCCTTATGACCACCAGGTGGCACAAAGAGGCTGCGAGGTTGCACCACCTGAACCCCCTAGGGGCTTGGCTGTGACGGCGCTGGAGTGCCCCCCCAGGCGGATGGGAAGAGGAGGACCAATTCTGACCAATTCCTACTGGTCTCTCTTCTTTGCCACTTTCATCTTTCAAGGGGTACCCATGAGTGCTGGGGGTGCCATCCTCCCAGCCCTGATACCGACCTCTAAAAGGATGGACAAGAAATCACTGGTGAGGTGCCCTGTCCAGAAAGGGACCAGGTAGGTGGGTTGCACAGGAAGGCTGTCCTTCCCACCGGGCTGTGCTCTGTCTCCTCGACACTGGGGTTTTTCTACAGCCTGGTCCTGGTTTTTCTAGGCTGGGGTGCCCTAAGGGTAGAGAAGTGTAGCAGGCACCTCTGCTCTTGCGAGGACTACTAACCTGAGGAATATGCAAACTTAGCACTTCGGGTGCTCAAGCTGGGCTCTGCCCTCCAGCCCCGACACCCAGTCTCTCCCGCTCTGGGACTTGGTCACCTGCCTGTCCCTCCCTCTCCCGGCCGACCCCCCCCCCAACCCCAGCGCTC